GATGAGTGAGCCATAAACAGTCCTTCATGAGACGTTTCTCACACGCAGGGCCACATGTTAACAGTTTTTCTTTATTTACTGCCTCCATTTCCTCTTTGTTCCAGGAACTTGTCCTCCAACTTCAAGCTGCTCATGATTAGGCAAAAAGGCCTCTAATCTCCCCGATCTGATTTACCGTCACTGAGAGCAGACGCTTCCCGTTACTGGCCCTGGACCTGGGAGCACGGACAGCTGAGCTGTGCCGGCTGCTGAGCCCAGCTGAGCCTCCCCAAAGCTGCCCCGCCGCACACGCCGCCTTCCCGGCAGCTTCCCCTTCCAGTAAGCGCAGCCGGTCAGGTGAAGGGCTGGGGAGCAGCAGTGCGGGGCCCCAGACAGGGATCCCCCAGGGCACGGCAGCCTTGGAGCCGCTCGCTCTGCCTGGAAGGGACGGATGGCTGGAGCACCCCTCAGCTTGGCCTTCCCAGACACTCACCCATCCACTCCATGGCACCTGATGGGCTGGTTGGCTGCCCTGGTGTGCCCACAGCTGGAGGGCAGCTCAGGGCTCTGTGTGCCCAAAGCCGGAGGGCAGCTCAGGGCTCTGTGTGCCCACAGCTGGAGGGCAGCTCAGGGCTCCGTGTGCCCAAAGCTGGAGGGCAGCTCAGGGCTCTGCTGTGGGCAGGCCCCCCAGCCCAGTCAGGGTCCGCAGCCGAGCAGGGGGTCCTTCAGTGTGCAGCAGCCACAGCTTCTGCAGCACTGTGCAGTGTGTTCCCCAGAGCCCCTTGTCCTTCAGCCCTGTGCCTTTCCCTGGAATTCGCTCTGGGACCTGCCTGGGGGTCCCCCCTTGGTACCAGCACCCAGCAGGGCCAGCATTGGGACTGTGGAAGTGCTTGTGGCCTTATGTGGAGCGGCTGAATGGACACCACGGGAGCTGGGCACAGGGTGCGCAGTGCCAGATTCTGGCCAGGGGCTTGGCTGGCAGCTGGGCACTAGCAGGGGGCTCACCCAGGACCACACTGCACCGCAGGACTGCAGTCACCACCTGCCCACACCAGCCTCTGTGGTGGGCTAAGCCCCTGCCCCGCTGGGCTCAGCTCCTGCTCCAGCCGTGCCTCCCCAGGGCTAAAATTAGCAGCTGAGGCCTGGCTGGGGAGCCGGGAGTGGAGCCCAGATCCCACCGCGGAGGATCGGGTTTCCCCCCTCCCTACCACAGGCCTGGCAACCACTGGGGCCGATTCCCGGAGCTGGGCCCCCCTGCTACCAGCCCCACTGGCAGCCCCATCCCAGCCTGCCAGCCCCAGCC